CTATTTTTGGCATCGAGAATAAAAGTGGTGTTCAAGTAATTAAAAATTTACGTATGGATGGTAATGTGGTATTGTAATACCTTAACATTGTGTACCACAATGGCCGATTTTCAAAATGTCCAAACAAACTCGTACAAAATCTACCAAACATAAATTTTCTATGATCCGAGACTTGATAAACAAAATACGAAACTTACTTTTGCAATATTAACAGTTTTTTCTTTCTAAATCAATTTATTTAAAAAAAATAACGTTGATTTCTTGCAGTTAAAAAAAATCAAAATTTTTGGAACATATGTTTTGTGCGACTTAAGGAAAACCAACTGCTTTTACTTCATATCTGTATTATAAGTCGGTTTTTTTTTAAGTCATCACATGTTAAGGTAATATCAGATGTTTTGACTGGGCAGAATTGAAGATAGCGACTATACCACATTACGCTCCTATACCACAATACCCGATTCCCCTAATAACATAAGAGTTATTAACATAAACATTTATTCACAGCTAATCTCTTCAATTAATATTTAGCGTCTACTAAGACTTGCGTTAAATAGAATAAATGCTAATCAATACATACGAAATATTTCCGTTTTCAGACCGATAGTAATGGGCTAGCTATGAAGACCCCGGTTTCTATTCTACAAGAACTCTTAAGCCGTCGTGGAATAACACCCAATTATGAATTGGTGCAAATCGAGGGCGCCATACATGAGCCAACATTTCGTTATCGCGTGGCGTTCAATGATAAGGATATACCCTTCACAGCCATGGGCGCTGGACGCTCCAAAAAAGAGGCTAAACATTCAGCTGCACGTGCACTAATTGATAAACTGACCGGTGTACAATTGCCTGATACAGCACAGGTTGGCGGCAGTGCCGGCGTTAGCACATCCTCAAGCGGCATTACAGCTACAAATGTTGGAGGCGATGGAAACGCAAATGCAGTTGGAAGTGGCGAGTAAGTATAATACCATTTAAAAGTTCGTAGAAATAATAAAATAGGTTACCGAAAAAAAAACACTAACAACTTTACATTATACTAACAACTTATACATTATCATAGTGGCGCCGATAAAATTGTTGGAAATCCGATTGGCTGGTTGCAGGAGATGTGCATGTCCCGTCGTTGGCCACCACCAACTTACGAGACCGAAACAGAGGTTGGTTTGCCGCATGAACGGCTATTTACCATCGCTTGTTCAATCCTTAATTATCGTGAAGTAGGAAAAGGTAAAAGTAAGAAGATCGCTAAACGTCTGGCTGCACACAAAATGTGGACTCGTTTGCAAGAAAATCCATTGGACAACAATCAAATTTCTGAAGCTATGCGCTCTGATATAGATGGTGAAGTAAGTTGGAAAATATTTTACATACATGTGGACATGTACATAGTTATCTATGGGCAATTAAAAGAAAATTTAAATCTAGTGCGGCTATGTGAAGTATTACGTACATTTGAAGTATTCGTAACTTACACAGTAATTTCAATATAAGTTTAATTAAAATTTAAAATTTTTGCGTGAAGATTCTACTATTCTTCCACTTAAAAACAACTTCTAAAATCACTTCGTCTTTGTTTTGTCTTAAGGATCCATTTAAAGAAGTTACAATAATACATAAAAAGTGAGCTAAAGATAAAGCTAAGAATTTTCATTAATGAAGTAAACTACAGCTCAAGAACTTTTTATGAAAATCGGGCTTTTAAGCTCGATTTTCTATGATGAGGCGCAATATTTTATGATATATTTCAAGTCACCATATCAGATTTGTGAAGATAAAAAATGTGATAAAAAAGTGATGCTAAGCCACTTAATATATTTAAATACAAACTTGCTAATATTCATAATGTCAGGTTAATCGTTATCAGTTCAGAATATTTTTTTGTTTTCTCGTTACAGCACCGTAACTGTGCAAATTATTATGGTGATTTGAAAGATATCACTGTACCCACTATAACCAGCCAGCATAGTAATAAGGTCTCACAGTTCCACAAGACACTTAAAAATGCTACCGGAAAGAAATTGCTCAAGTTGCAGGTGAGGCCTTTGTTGGATAAAAATTATAAATATATTTACCAAAAGTAATACATATTTAAAGCACTTAACTTTAAAAACGAATAAAAAATATGATAGGTGCGTTAAAGCAGCAATTTGAAAATGAATGGTTGTTTGATCCCATATTTTGAATTAAATATATAATCATGAAAACTACTCGCAATAAAATTTGCGGAGATTATTCCTTAGGCACCAGGTCACTCGACGTACGATAACAAATAATTTTGAATTAATTTTACTCGCCTGGAAGTGTGCCTCTAATAGAGACGTTCATTTTTATAAATCCTTATCATATTAGATATAGAAAAGCCCTAACTCACTTTCATACAAACTCCGGTTGGTGCGAAAGTCGGTAAAATAATATTAGAACTTAAAAATAACTGCTACAGCATCAAATTAGTTAATTTTTTTTTAAATAAAATACAGCGTTTAAAATGAATTTGTGGTTAAAATTTTTTAATCACTCTGGAAGGAAAGAGAAATACATAAAAGATAGGTAATAAGGATTGAAAGAAATATACAAATTTTAGTTGTGATAAGTATATGAGGGAAACAATTTATCGTTTTGGCAAACATTCCGTTTACAAGAAAATTCAAAGAAAAATTAAAGAAAACACTTTAATCATATGATAATGGAATTTGTGAATATTTTTTGGGCGCAATATCAAAAATGACTATATTGAATTAATACACTTTTGAAGAATGGTCGTGGTACGTAGACTCGAAGTATACGATTGTAAATAGAATTTCCAACAGAAAGTCGATACTTTACCTGCGTTCTACACAATTTCAAAACAATACGTGTGTTAAGTGTTAAAGGCGCAGCGAAGCACTATGGCAATCACAGTGAGTTAGTCTCGCCTACACCACATACAGTTCGAATTATAGCCGCACCACATATTGACAAGTTTTAGATATCCAGGCTATCACGGAATCCATCGTAACAATATGAAAAAAAAATCAACAAGCTTTCGTGAAAAATTTCGAGCTTTTAAATTAGATTCCTGGGATAGATTTTATGTATTCAGTTTTGAAACCTATTGAGTTCTACACCTTTTTCAGTTGTAGTTCAGAAAGTTACAATTTAAATTCAGAAAGCTACAATTCAAATTTAGAATTGCCATTTAAATTCAGAAACTTCTAATTCAAATTCAGAATTTCCATTCAGAAAGTTGCAATTCAAATTCAGAAAGTTACGTATTTGTCAATGTTATTGTGGCTTGTTAACATTTTATTTTTAATATTTTTATTGAGCATTGTAGAAAGTTACATTTCAAATCCAGAATTTCCATTTCAAATTCAGAAACTTTCATTTCAAATTCAGGAAGTTACAATTCATATTCAGAAAATTTCCATTTCAAATTCAGAAAGTTACAATTTAAGTTCAGGGAAATTAAGTTCAGAAACTTTTTATACTTTGCATTCTATGTAAATATATGTATGTATTCAATTTTTGCGGTCTTTAGCTCTATGTATGTACAGTATCGGTCATATCTATAGCACGCCATTTCAAAGTGATATTGTGTGCAACTTATGTTTATTTATTTATTTTTAAGAATTTTCAATTAAAATACAGTTCTTTCTCTAACAAACCCCATATAAACACAAGTTTAACAATTTGTAGAAAACTTCAAAAAAGTGCAACAAATTTTCACC